TTGTCCCTGACATAGCCTTCAGCTACTGGCATGTTGTGGGTTGTTGGCACCTCTCAGTGTTTGTCATATGCTCCAATCACCACTGGCACTATTGACCCTTTCATTAACTTGAACTGACTATCAATCATGCACTGTTTAATCATGGTGATAACACTTCCTTCTTGTTGTGAATCTGATGAATTGTATTCATTTTATTCCTTCTTCTTATTGGTAACAGACTTGCACTCACTCACAATGTGCCTCATTTTATGACAAGCATAGCATGTGTTCTTTCTTTTGTGTGTTGACTTCTTGTCATCTTTAGTAGCATTCTGCTTCTCATCAGCCATCCTTCGTTTTGGCTTTGACTGGTTATTTTTGGACTTGCTAGTTAATCTTTCTTCATGGGCTTCCATATACTGCTTGTTCATCTCGTCCACATCTTTTGGTTCTCTCTCTCCTTTAGGAACAGTAATATGTCAGTGGAGCATGTGATCATGAACTGTTCATGTATTATTAGATCTGCTTGTCCTTCAAAACTATCTTCACACTTGGCCATGTCAGTCCATCTTGTGAAGTATCACCATAGACGTGCAAAAAACTGAAATACAGTTTCTCCAGTGCCATGTTTGACTTCTGTAAACTTCCAGTGAAAGCCTTTCTCTGTAAGTTCATAGTACTTCAGGGAGGCCACTTTTAACTTGTCATAGTCCATGGCATATTTTGATGTCATGCCCACATACACTTGTAGAATTTTTCCTGTGAAAAGGGGGCTAGACAAACTGCCCAGTCACATTTTCCCCAGTTCTGACTTTGGGGGAATCTTTTATACCTCGCAGGAAAGCATTCATGTATTTTTTTTTGTTCAACAAATTTTGGCAGCTTGGGTCGGCTGGTCCTGACTCCATTGTCATTCTTAGGTTCTCTGTCTTTCTGTTGAGTGAACTTGGTAATCTCAATTTGTGCTCTTATTCTTTCTATTTCCTTTTAAGCATGTGTTTCACACTCACATTCTTCTTTCAGTCTTTTTCTTTCTTCCTCTCTCTTCTGTTGATGCTGTTCTCTCTCTCTAGGTCATGTTGTTGCATAACAAACTCTCATGGATCACCATCTTTGAGCCCAAGTCACTCGCCTTTTTCTATCCACTTATCAGAGTCAGTTGAAATGGGTATGTAGTGTGATTGTGACCTCTACAATATTTTTGCCACCACTACATCTGTGTATATATAAACCTTTTTGCTGCTGTTGTTTACGTCTTCTTCTACTGCCGTTTAGCACTTTAGATCCTGTCTTGCTCACTACAAGTCCACATAGTCTGGTTCAGTTACCTTAGAACACCATTGGAAAAATAAATTATTATTCTCTACTCTGTTATTACAATACAGTCTGTGATGATTTCACTTTAAAAATTGCCAATATTCACTCTTTATCACTAAACTCATGATCACACAGCCTAGAACTAGAACTCAATAATGATTTCTTGATGAGTATTTCTACCCCGACAGAAATCTAGATCATTCCACACAATACTAGAAATTCTGATGCAATAAAACTCAATTGAACCAACAAGAAACTCAGAAAATCCAAACAACATGATACTGTTATAAACAATCGCTAATTGGTAACAATTGAACTACACAACATATGATTCATAAATAGTTATGTAAACAAACTTAACATAAAATATCACTTCAAAAAATAAATAAATATGACACTCACTCTACAAATTATCTATATTGTAATGCTCACATTAAACTTTAACTAAAACAGTTGTATATATTTAACAAGATTCAAAGTTGTATTAATTCATCATTGTGTAAGTTCTTTCTGCTTTAGTATTTACAACATCCAGCTGTATTCAAACCATTTATTATTACATGCTTAGGCATCCTGAACAGAGTCTAATGATGTGCCTTGTTATTGTAATTGTACAGAAAAAACATTCCTGCATTTTCTGCCCTTCTAAAATCCTAAGTCTTGGGTTTTATTGTTACATGATATTTTTGACTTTTTATCTTCCTCCAATCCAAGTAAGGCAGTGGAAGGTCTTGAGAAGAAAAATAATTCTCTCCACTGTTAGAAATTGGCATAGTTTGGTATGTATGATTTGGTTATCATACATCTGACATATAATCCTGCATTGATTTATGCCTTTTATATTTAAAAATTCAGCTTAATCCCCATTTCCTTATTTTTTTAACTTAATTTGTAAATATTACATAACATGTTTCAATGTATTGTTGACATTATTGCTCTAATGATTGCTTAGAACCAGCTAAAATTTAATCTGGGAACTTTATTTCCATAATTGTTCATTGAAATACTTTGTTGAGTTTTAACAGCTATTGGACATTACCAGTTGAACTAATATGTTTGTTATTGAACATTACCAGTTGACCTTAATGCTCTTGTTATTGAACATTACCAGTTGAACTATTACCAGTTGACCTAGTTCTCCTCTTTTTGCTACTTTTGATTTTTATTACTTTATTACCTTGAGTAGTTTGTTGCTAAATGCTGCATCACTTAACCCTATTGCCACGGGCATTCTTTACTGTACATGTCACGAGGTTTTAGTGACTTACATTCAGAATTTAACTACTTTTTTTTATATGTTATACCAATTACGTATAGCATAAATTAATTCATAACTAATAATCCATATTTTAATAGCATATAAGTTTTAAGTTCTTAATTTTATAAGGCAATGTTAAACAAAATCCTGAATTTTCCATAGTATGAGAAATGTGACATATTTTATCTAGGCATCCCCTCTTCTCTATTTTTCACCACCCCTCCAATAACTATGAAATTTAACATAAATTACTCTCTATAAAATCGTCATTGCTCAGACAAACCATACTTTTCATAACCTTCAATCTTGTTTGGTTACAGAGCCATCAAATTGAAAATCAGACCCCCTCTTGCCACACCCACCTGTTATATCCTCTCTTTCAGGATATTTATAGTTCTATTTTACTCTTAATACTATATTATATATCTATATAAATATAATAATACCATCTGTTGCATGTCCATGTAACTACTTTGCAGGGTGTGGATGGACCTTCACCAAAATTTGTATGGAGGTTCATTAGGTCCATGCAGGGCCACATACAAATTTTCTGTTTTATGGTTTTTATGGGCATTTTGTACCACTACCTCACCTCCTGTGGATGGATCTTCACCAAATTTGGTATTGAGGTTCATTGGGTCCATGGGGAGATACATTCAAATTTTCAGTTTTGCAGTTTTTATGGGCATTTTTGCAGTTTTTACGATTACATATAAGGGAAGCAACTTTTCATGTCATAAGATAACCTTTCTTTGATCATGAATTAACATAATTCCTGTTCAGGCGACAGGTACTCCAACTAATTAACAATAGAAAGCCAAGGTTTTCATCTATCAAATGACATATTATACTACATTGTTTTCTGAACAGAGAATTGACACTTTCTCTGTTAGTACAAGCTTCATTCTCATGGGAAAGATGATGACTAGCTTGAATGATCTTGTCGCATAGTTTGAAAGCCAGAAAAATTGTGATAGTTATGGGAAGTTATTTGCTTTTTGCATATTATTATTATATGTTCTTTGGTGCATTATGTAATTTAATTAAAATA